CCCTGCGCCTCTGCTTCTCCTTCTTGCTGTTCTACTATCTTGTGGTTGGCCCTAGACACGTGTTTCACTTGCAAAGTTAAGACGAGACCGTCGCAACTCTTGCCCAACACCCATTCACCCAACCACCTTAGACTGGCACACAAATTTTGAGGTCAGCCAGGGCCTGGGTTCTGGGCATAAATCAGGGCGAGGGAAAACAGCACCGAAACCCTGAACATCTTGGACAGGACATCAGCCTGAAGCGTTGGCGAGTTTTTGAACCTAGACTTTGAGCCCTCCCCCATGTTGATGCTGGGAATCAAGCCATTAAGTGTGTTTACTGTTTATTTTATTAGACTTTAAGGCTTAATAGCTTATTCCCAAGAATTTTCGGGGGCAGCTCGCTCAAGAGTCGACTGCTCAGCCGTTTCCTATGCCCCTCAAGTATTTAATTAAAGTTAATTTTGATTTAATTAAAAGTTCCTGGCACTGCCCCAATATTTCTCTCATGACTAATTTATGACAACCAAAAAAAATGGCAGCCAAATTGATTAAACCAAATAAACATAAACATAGAGAGAAGGAATTGCTGAGATACTGAAGGGGAAAAACAGGAAGTGCGACAAATTAAAAGTTTTCCCACCGCAAAATAAGAACAACTCTTACTCTCATTAGCGCAAAACTTTCACCAGACGATAACCTTTCCGCACCTCCCAACCCTCTTTTTATACTCGGTACTCCAAGAGTAAATAGGGTATATTGTATTTATGGGGAATAACGGATGTATGTAACGCACAGAAGAAAACGTTTCCGACTTTATAAAGTATATACACTCTTGATCAGCATCACTGTAAATGACAGATTATTATAGCCAGAATGAAAAAATTAATTTGCAGTGGCTAAGCCCACCAGAGGGAGGGGGGCGAGCTAAAAGAGCGTGTTGGCGTGGAAAGTGATGTAAATGAGTAGATGAAGAAAAAATGGAAAATTTGAAGAAAAAAAAAACGGCTACAGACAGATGTAGTACTGAACCGGGAATAGCAGTTGTGACACGTAAGAAGCATCTCACACGTCCCTTATCGTTTACGGCTATAATTCTTTTTTCTTTCTATTTTTAATGGGAAACTTTTTCTGTTTCTCTTCGTCTTGATCTAAGACAGTGCTTGGTAAATTTCCTTGTCAGTTTTTTGCTACTTTGGTGACTTGGCACAATCGAGCATTGTTGCCGTGGCAGTTGTTGTCCCCGTCCTTGGCGTTAATCTGTCAATTCTTTGTGGAAAGTTTTCAGCAAGTGCACAAAATTTAACGGCGGGGTAAAATGTGTTAATTTGTAAATATTTGAGAAGATTTTTATTTGTTTTTTGTCAAGGATTTTTTTTTTTCCATAATCAAATCAAATGTTAAGCTCAAACATTTCCTTGTTTTGAAGTAAATTTTAACATAAACTATAGTTCGTGCTTTATCAGTTTTTGATTTCCCTAATAAAACAAACCAGTTGCCATTTTGTTTACCTTTTGATAAAGTTTAAGTTAAAGCACCTTAAGAATGAATGAAATTCTCGTGGAGAAAAAGAGAGAGATCTGAACCTGGTAAAATAAAACTAAGCCGATACAAATAATAACACACAAGTGTTATTTAACATATTTAACTATTGTGTTTTCATATTGTTGTCTTTTCGATACCCTGTGTAGATTGAGAAAGGGTATGTCGGAAAACGTCATACAAAGCCAAACACATAAAATGCGAAGCACAGTAGAGAGTCCCGTTTGCTTCAATCGATGCTCCGAATTTGCTTAAAGCGAGCGAGTGCACTCCCTCACTCGAGTGAGGCTACAAACTGATGACGAAGCTGCAGTGGTGTGTACGGCTTATTATTGTTGGCATTGCCGAGAGAGTGTGTTGTTGGAGAGACCAATGCACTCCAATGCACTGCAATGCGTATGAAAGGGAGCGATGCTTTTGAAATTAAATGAGTGTTCCGTTTGCCGACATGATCAATCGTGTTTGCTGCGCTTGAATTGTTGTTGCTGCTGAGATGTAGCAAAGCTCTTAAAAAGATGTGACGAAGGGTCCCAAAACACCGACTAAGTGCAAGTTATGTATGTATGTAAATGCGCTTAAAGCTTCTAAGAGAGTGCTATAGAACTCGTTGCCCGTGTGTGTATTGCGTATGCGGAGCGAAGCTTGCAGATCAATTGATGGTAAGGAAATTGGCGGCGCATAAAGCTTGAGGCGAAATGCAAATGGGATGCAATTTATGTTTCTTCTGTCAGTGAGTTTTTACTAATTCTAAAACATGGGGTAACCCTACAGTCTCTATGCTCAACCACTTTTGCTATTTATTTTCTCTTAGTACACCAGCAGCACACACAAAAACACGGCACTGACCGAGTAAAAATATTAAAACAGAATTGCGAACAAAATCCGTAATAATATATATTTACATTCTGTTATCTATTTGACAAAAAAATTGCAAACTGCAAAATTGGCCAGAGAGGGAGAGGGGGAGGCAGAGCGAGTGTCAGGAGTCATGAAATTTATTTTGGTTATATGGTTCTATGTGTGGGTGGGGTGGCTGGGGATCTGGCACTGTTATGTCAGTTTAGTGCTCATGTTAAATGTGCCATAGAGTGCTGCGGAAGTTGCAGCTGCTGCTCCGTTTGGTTGTTTATGCAAATCTCAAATGCCTCGTAAAAGTAAATGAACAAGCGTAGAGAACAAAGAACAAAACAAAAGTTGTCCCAACAATATCCATAGTGAAAATACGTTTCTGGGTACCCACTCTATTCTGGTTATTGGCTGATGCAAAGTAAAGTATTTACTAGACAAAACAACAATTACACGTTAGTGGCGTGAATAGAGATAAGATGTTTGTATGATGCTAAAAACAATATAAAATATGGGTAAACAATTGAAGATCTATGTACATGCTAAACCTACAAAATATTGTTTGCATATTTAAACAGTTTTAAATCATTTATAATTAAACTACATCACGTTTTGTCTTAGCCAAAGCGCTTACTCCCATTTATTGCACATTAAATGACCTCCGAGAATTAGCCAGCAACAATATTTCGGCTCACATTTCACCTTTTTCACGACGTGTCCAAAGCAATTAACACATTGTCCACTTTTTGATTGGGTCCCTCGAAACGAACCCCCAAAAACACTTTCGACTTGGCCCATCGAGTAAGAGAGAGCCAAAATATTGCGTGCCAAACACTCGCAAACTGGACAATTTTACATCGGAACTGATGGCTCCTGCTGGCTATACATAGTACTTTTTATTGGCTTCTATGTCGGGGGGAGGTGGTGGAATATTTATGGTACCCACTCACGGAGCAGGCGGCGGCCAATGGCCAACATTTCTCATTTAACCGCCTTCACCATTTGCTAATTAATACGAGAAAATTCCATTTATTTCAGTGCAAAAACAAGTAAATTTTCCCTCCTTTTTTGGGGTTCTTTTCTTTTTGGGATTAAGTCCAAATCAATTTGTGTTGCGTTTGCTTTGTTGACTTCCGATTCGAGATTTGTGCGGAGGCCTTTACGACTTTTGGCATGTCCGAAAGGCAGGAAGGAAGACTCCTTCCGATTCACAACTGCGTGAGTTCCCTTAATCAAGGGTTGGGGGGTTGTTGTGTATCGTTTAGTACAAAAATATTTGTACGAAATCAAAGTAATGGCCTCTCGTTGATGTTTATTAATTTATACAGCTTTCTGCTGCTACTTTAGGGCCTCTCGAACTAAATTATACTACTCATACGGACGATTGTTTTGCATTATTGAGTAATTAAATACTAATTAAAGTGTAACATAAGCCAATTGCCTTGATTTTTGTAGTCACCACACAGCAACACAAAATAATAAAACCAATTATTTTTTCTGCTAACGAGAAAACTGTGGACTTGGGGGGGGGGTGGGTGGGTTCTTATCTCTGGATTGAGCCGATAAGTCAGCTTTAATTAGTGTGGTGAAAGCTTTTCATTATTCAATTACGAGGTTCATAATTGTACATAAATACGGCGGAGTGTTGTCAATAATTGGCAGTGTTTTTTAAACTATTCAAAATAAATGTGTGAATATTTGTGTTCATTTAAAAAGAAACTTTATACAAAATTTGTGAACTGAAAATAGCAATTGGTGTGGCGTTAATTCAATATAAGACCAGACTTCCCAGACTTTTATGAGAACTTATCACTGGGAATTCTAAGTTTTTCCAAGTTTTGTATCTAAAAACTTAACATTTCGTTGAAATAAATGTTAGTTTCTTTTACTATGATTTTTTTAAATGTTTTTTCGCGTTATATCTATCACAAATACACCAAAAGTCCTGGCAGAAATTCGCACTGAAATCATCTCTCAGGGCTCTCGAAAATCTAACACCTTCTGCATATTTAAGTTCTCCGCCATTTTAATGGCCATCCACATCTCTTTCCTGTGGGACTCAACCCAGACAGCTTTAAATATCAAATTAACCTAGGAACAATTCCGCATGGCTAGACAAGTTTGGTCATGTTTAATTGCTCCTTAGTGATTTGCCAAGCTCTTCGATGGTAGGAGACAGGCACGGCAAAAGGGTCGGTCATAATTGGCACTTGTCTGGCTTGCAGTTTGGGGTCTGGGTGGGAAATTCCTCATCAACTGGACTAATTACTCAGTGCGAGAGCTCCCTTGAGACTTACATATATTTATTTTCCATGGCATTGATAAATGCAATAAACTTTTGACAATATTGTTTGTGTGTGACAGTCATTCTGAAATCGTTGATAAAAATTTCTACAAATATTTGTAGTACACACATATGTAGTGTTTCCGTTCAATTTTTTTTTAATTTGGAGCATTTTTTCTGTTAAATTTTTTTATTTGCTGACATGTCTCTTAAATTGTGCGACGTTCGATTCTGTTTGCCCGACTTCCTGACTAATCTTTAGTGACACGCGATGGTTCTGTTGTCGTTCCCCCTACCCGTTCAATTTTGTATTCCCTTTTTTAAATGTTCTCTTCGTTTGTCTTTTTGCGCTCGCAATTTCATTCGATGTCCCTTCAAATGTTGTCGGTTGTGGACCCATCAATTTGATGTTGTCAATTTTTGTGAAAATTTATTGTTTGTTGCTTTCGAAATTTGACATTGTCATGCAGTTCGTTAGCCATTTCTGGCAGAGTTGTGATGTATTAAAAAGTAGTTAAAGGTACTTTTTCCCTGCACATTCTGTTCAATAGTGCATCTGCACCTCAGCGGTGTTTTGTCAAATTTTAAATAGGCAGGGGCCGAGTGAAGCAAAAGCAGAGTGTGAATGAGAGAATGTGAAAGGAACAACAAAATCTGCTGGACAGGGTGGGTTTAGCCACAGCAAATTAATTTCTTTATTCTGGCTATAATAATGATCCGATCGGATCCCAAATTGGTGATCTGATAGATATGGCCATTTTCTACGGAATGGCGTTATTAGTTTTCTTTTATCTTCAAAATTTTAGATTTGGTAGGTTTTCGCCCTTTTGCGGGGGCGGAAAGTGGCGTGGTTCATTTTGGAAAGAAACTGGTTTCAGTGTGAGCATATAGCAGTCTGGATGCAAAATTTGGTGGCTCCAGCTCTTATAGTCTCTGAGAACTAGCCGACAAACAAGACGCACAGACGGGCAGACAGACATGGCTCTATCGACTCGGCTATTGATGCTGATCAAGAATATATATACTTTATGGGGTCGGAAACGTTTCCTTCTGTGCGTTACATACAACCGTTCGCACAAATACAATATACCCTATTTACACTCGATTACCGGGTATAAAAAAGAAAAGAAAGAAAATTACGTAGATGAAAAAGAAAATGATAAAATATGTAAATTGTTTTATGTAAAACTTAAAACTTGCAACTTTCGTAAATTCGTAGAAGCTATTACACATTTAATATCAAATTTTAAATCAATAGAATTAATATTTTTTATATATTGAACAAAATTTTAAGTATGGTAAATAAATAATAAAATACACTAAAGGCGCGTTTTGGCGTGATAGTGTTGTTGATATAGATGACAGATGAAGAAAAAATGTAAAATTTGACAAATAACCGCTAAGGTGCAGATGTAGTTCTGAGTGCCGGGTATAAAAGTTGTGACGAGTAAGAAGACTCTCACACGTCCCTTCTCGTTTTATATTAATACCACCCAGAATTATTATGCAAGTAGCTCACATTTTTAAAACAACCATTACCACATCCACGTTGCCTCAAAAGTGGAAGGAAGAATGGAGAATGGAAAATACCTTTCCTAACACTTCTTGACTTCACCAAAGCATTTGACTCAGTTGACCAACGCATCCTCATCGCAAAGCTTTGTGATTCCTACAAACTTATATGAACCTGCAGTACGGTGTGAGTGTGTGCTTTAACAATATAGCTAGATACATATTCTAACTGAGGCGCAACGACAGAATCTCTGTATTCTCATTTAAAATGTTCGAAAGACGCTAATCAAATGGATTGACTAAAAGACGCTTACGTTCGTACATAAAATACTTCCCACCAGACAACCCAAATACCCATATGAAAAACTTAGATCCGCCAATTTCGACAGAAAGGGTATTATTATCACCATACGACATAGAACACAAAATTCCGAGAAGCATTTCTTTGTGAATGTTATTCGCTTGTGAACCAACCTCCACATCACTTGAAAACGATACAAAACCTTTCACAATTCAAAACGCAGTTAGAAACACAACTTATCCTCGATTAAGATATCAGTAAAACCTAATTTTACCATAGACAAAAAACGCAGTTAACATTAGAATTGACTAGCTATTACCTACGCCATATTAAACGATTATATTAGCTTTCAGTTTATTACCAAACTAATGTGACACCTAATGAGTAGTGCGCTAATTCTAAGCTCCTTGCTTGTAGCACTAGGAAAGTCAATAGATAAACATTTCATTACATTCTCACAATAAAAATTAAAAAAGGTTTTGCTACAATTTTTTTTGTTTTTTTTTTTTTATGAAACAAGCAAACCATTTTCCAGCAGTTTTCTCTTCTCATTCTTAGTATTTAAATATTAAGTTCCTCCCCAGCACAGTATATTTAAATAATTTAAAGAGCTTCGCCAAAACAAACCACCACCCACCAACAAGCCAATCAATTTTCATTCATTCATTCAATATTTATATTATATTTATTGTTGTAAATAATTCAGGAAGCAAGTTTAATAGTTAAATATATTATATTATCGACAGAGATTTAAGCACTGCAAATCGTTCGTTCGGCTTTGGCTATAGCTAAAACTGAACAATATTAATAATTGAATACAATAAGTATTCTCTGTGTGTGCTGGTTGTGTGTGGCACATAGTGCGTATGGATTATGTATGTTGTCGTTGTCGTTTTGACCGTTGCCGTCGTTTGTCGCTTGTTAATATGCCTCATAAATAACACATTTATGGCAGCGGCGCACGCACACATATGCGGGACACATTACAATAAACCACACAAAAAAACACATGCATGAAGCCAGACAGAACCAGGAAAGGTAAAGCGAGAGAGTGTAAGGAGCTAGAGACTCCCGCTCATTTGTTTGGCTAGTGTCCGTGTCTCTCTATTAGCAGCTTTGATGTGCAAATTTTTGCGTCTACATAATAAAGTTTCGCCAGATTGTTCAGCTCTGCAACCCACAAGCAGGAAGAGGCAGGCTGCCTATAGAACAGGTTCGAGGATGTTGATACCCTGGCAGATAGACGCGAAGTTATGTGGAATATGTGTGGAATAGATTATTCATTTGGTAGCTCTATTTATGTCAGAAGTATAAGGAAATATAGAAAGTTGTCTTTTGAGCGATTGTTTTTGTAACAGAAATGTGAGCTGAGCAGTGCCGAGCTACACATAAATTACAATGTGCTTTGGAGAATATATATTTTACTTATTTCTATATATAGAAAACATATGGATAGAGAAGTGTATAGAATAGCGGTAGGAACACGTTTATGCGGCATTCTATTTATGTAATATTATTTTTCGATAATTTGTAGATATTTAATTTTATTTTTATTTGTATTTTCATAAGCGTGCTTACCCTTGCTCAACGATCACTACCGATTGTTTTTATACCCCGTACTCGAAGAGTATATAGGGTATATTGTATTTGTGGGGAAAAGTTGATGAATGTAACGCAGAGAAGGAAACTCCAGAATAAAGAACTTAATTTGCAGCGTGTACCCCCACCCCGTTCAGCACCTTCTTTTTTATTGTTGGCACATTCTCTCATTCCACACAGTGCTTCATACAGCGTGCGGCTCTGCAGGAGGGGGGCGAGCTAAAAGAGCGTATTGGCGTGAGAAGTAATGTAAATGTAGAAGACATATGCAAAAAATATGTAAAATGTAAAAGTAAAATTCGGAAAAAAAAACAAGAAGGCACATATGTGACTCATCGTCTCACACGTCCCCTCCACGTTATGTCTGAAGTTTGATTTAGAGAACTTAGTTCTGATTGTATCCATAATTCGTGCAAAATAAATATTGTATGTATAAAGAAAACGAGAAGGGACGTGTGAGACGCTTTTTACGCGTCACAACTTTTATACCCGGCACTCAGTACTACATCTGCACCTTAGCGGTTATTTGTCAAATTTTACATTTTTTCTTCATCTGTCATCTACATCTACAACACTTCTCACACCAACACGCTCCTTTAGCTCGGCGCCCTTCCCTAGACGTTGGCGTTTTTAGTTTTCTTTTATCTTCAAAATTGTAGATTTGGGAGGTTTTCGCCCTTTTGCGGGGGCGTGGCTCATTTTTTAAATACACTGGTTTCAGTGTGAGCATATAGTAGTCTGGATGCAAAATTTGGTGGCTTAGCTCTTATAGTCTCTGAGAACTAGCCGACAAACAAGACGGACAGACGGACACACAGACATGGCTCTATCGACTCGTCTATTGATGCTGATCAAAAATATATATACTTTATGGGGTCGGAAACGTTTCCTTCTGCGCGTTACATACAACCGTTATTCCCCACAAATACAACATACCCTATTTATTCTTCGAGTACCGGGTATAATTACAAGACAGCGAACAAAAGCAAAGACACCTTTGCTTCAGGCTGTTCAAAAATCCATGTATTTATTTTATTTTATTATTCCAAACATAAAATCTTTCACATTTCTCTATTCACCAAAATATATGCTAAATATTAATACTGCCGCCGCCAGTTTATAAACAGCAATAAACACACCCACACCCCCTCACATGCACAGGCACTAAATACAAAGGCTAATAGTTTAATATGCTTATAATTGTTGGCTAAAATTGTATTGTCTTCTTGAATTTTGCAGTTTGCTGCACTCTATCTTCCTCTCTCTTTCTCCTACTTTCCTTCTCTGTCTGTCTGCAGTTTAAATATTTTATTAATTTCCTATAAATTTGGGACCATTTAAATTTTCGTCGGTGTCGAGCGCGCTGAGTGCATTTGACAGACAGGCAGCAATATCCTGCACAGCGGACATTGTTTATGATTTATGTTTTATGCATTTTACCAAATGAATTTAATTTATGGTAGAATATTTTCTAAATATATGTACATGCATTTGCACTGTCAGAAATATGTATTTGCAGCCTCAACGGAAGTGGCGAGCGATTGTTTGGTTTGCAGACACTTTTTTAAAATGATTTTTGTTGTGCATGAAATTAATTGAGAGTTTTTGGAACCGGCTTTTTCGACAGGTGATATTAATTGATTTTTAAAAAGCAAAAGATTTTATATTTAAATAGTTTTATGGGAGTTTAATGGAGTTTTGAATTTGTTGAGAATTTTATTCGGGAAGAGGTTTTTGCATTGAGTGTAAGAAACTTAGAAACTGAAACTTAGTGTTTTTATGAAATCTTAAATTTTCCTTTTTTCTACACATATCAACATCTACCTCTCATCTAACTCATCAAGACGGACGGACTGATGGACAGACAGACATGGCTGTATCGACTTGGGTATTGATGCTGATCAAGAATATATGTTCATACGTATGCATGTACATACATACATACTTTATGGGGTCGGAAACGTTTCCTTCTCTGAGTTACATATATTCGCTTTTCCACACACATGCAATATACCCTTTTTATACGCGGTACTCGAAGAGTAAATAGGGTATATTGTATTTGTACGAATAAG